AAAAAAAAAAAAAAAAAAAAGAATAGAGGGTTACAAAATTTTTCTAAGATAAGCATGTTAAGCCCTAAATTAGAAACAGACCTAGCTGAACATACAAATTAAAGATAAAATGTATAAAATGATAACACTGAGTCTGTGTACTACTCTAATCTACTTCTTCTAAACACAGAGACATGTAGTCAGGAGTGAAACAGGAATAGCCTTGAAGTCTAGGCTAGTTCCAGCAGCATGTTAGTTATCTGCTGGGCAGGTATTTTAATCAGCTTCTCCGCCAAGGACCCAAACCGAGCTCCTGCCTTGCAAAAAAGCTCAAGGCGATGGCCAGCAGCAAAAAAGAAATGTTGCTTTGCAAACATCCTCTGACAATGCTCCCCTTGTTGGAAGCAGCTTCTATTCTGTGAACGAACTAACATGTCCACAGATTCCTTCAAGACAAAGCCCTGCAAAACCCCAGAAACTTTTCACGTCTCTTAGCCTATTTCCCAACACCATATGGTGACTTCTCCTTGTTTATATTCATATCTGTGGGTAAGCCCTTCTGAACTTGTAATTTTTTAAAAACCTAAATGTTAATTATCTTTTCCTGTAATATATTTTTCCTGAACACTTTATCTTAGAGACATGCCACTGATTGTTTCATATGTAGAAATCAAGCCTGTCTGTAGATCTTAAATTAATTATTAAGAGGATTAAGTAAATTTACACCAAGTTGTATACATTGGGATTTCTTGAAGGATAGTATCCAGTATTTTTCTGGCATACATATTATGCGTGTGTTAACATAGTAAATAGAAACTATAAAAAATACTTTGTTTCCCAAACAAAAGTGCTTATATTTTTAGATATATATAGAAAAAGCCAAATGTAATGTATATCCTTAAAATACTACCAGAAGGAATAAAATCAGTGATAACATAAGCCTTTCAGGAATTAGAAGCATATGAAGAAAAAAATAAGCAAAGGTGAACTATTTGTTTTGTTGAGTTTATCTTTGTTAAGTTGTCTTAATGGGAATTAAAAAACAGTATGATATTAGTTATTGCTCATTTAATCTTTTTATTTGCTTTAGTGTGTCTGATGGATATTGCATGTGGCTCTTACCTTATAAAAAATGTTCCCCCAACCTTTAAAACTTTTGATTATTTCTCTACCATTTTGCAATTGTGTCTCCTCTGATGTTTTCAACCATGAAGCATAATTATTTCTTATACTGTTTAATTTAGTGTATAGTTCTTGTTTTGTTTTATTTCCTTCATCCTTTGTGTACAGATTTTTTTTCTTTCCAGCTTTTGGTAGGGTTTTGTGTAATTAGAGAATTATGAGTCATTGGCCAAGACTGCTAGCTATTTCTAAATGTCTGTTTCCCTTTTTTCCATGATAATATAGAACCACTAATTATATCTGAGCAAAAGCTACCAAAAATAAAGATTATATTCTCAGTCTCACTTGAAATTAAGTATGGTTATGTCACAATGTTTTGGCCAATGGGATGTACAGCAGAAATGGCATCTGGGAACTTTTTTTAAAGACATTTGACATGTACTCTTTGTCTCTCTTTCCTTTCACCTCTACTTTGTCTTCTTTTAGCCTGTTGCTTGGCATGGAGCTGTGATAGCTACCATTTTGAACCATAAGAACCATACCCTAGATTTGGCAAAGCAGCAGACTGAAACGAGCCCGAGATCCTGAGGACACTGTGGAGAAATTTGCCATCCCAGCCTGGGGTTGCCTGCCTACTTCCAGACTTTTATATGACAAAGAAATAAACTTCTGTTTTGTTTAAACCACTCTATTTTGCATCTATTATTGCCAAACTAATCATAACTGAGGCTTAAGGGTAAGTTATTGACTTTTTTCTATAGGAGAGAATTGTGTGGGCAATGCCAGTTATTGGCAGGTTGTATGGACCTAGAGCTGCCAGATGAAACAAAGGCTTCCATAATATACATTCATCAGCCCTGTAAGGGTTGTATCATTCATTCATTCATTTATTCATCCATTCAACCAACATTTATTGATGACTAAGTGTTAAACCCACAGCTTTTATTTCCCCTTTCCTGTAAAGAGAGATGACAGGGAGTAGGAACTTGCCATTAAAACATGGTAATCTAGTTGGGGAGTTTGAAACATAAACAATTGACTGTAAGGAAAAGTGAAGGAGGTGTTATAATAACATAGGCCAGATTCTGTGAGAGCACTAGTCCTTGATTTCAGGAGAGGAGACAAGAGGGATATTGGGAAAAGATAAGGATGGTTCAGAAGAAGAGCAACTTTGTTTTTTCCAGTGGATTCATAGCATCATCATGACAACAAGACCCCCTAAAAGGAGGAAATCCTGTCATTTGCAACAACACGGATCAACCTGGAAGACATTATGCTAAGCAAAATAAACCAGGCACGGAAAGACAAATACCACATGATCTCACTTATATGTGGAATCTAATAAAGTTGAACTCATAAAAATAGACAGCAGAACAATGGTTACCAGAGGCTGGGGCTCAGGGTTGTTGAGGGAGGAAATAGGAAGTTGTCGATCCTGGGTTATAAAGTTTCAAATACATAGGAGGAACAGGTTTTGAGATTTACTGCACATTAGGGGGTGACTATAGCCAATAATCATGTATTATATATTTCAAAATAACTAAGAGTAAATTTCAGATGTCTCACCATAAAAAGTGATAAGGTAAGTTACGTGACATATATGTTAATAGGCTTGATTTAATCATGCTACATTGTATACATACATCAAAACATCACATTGTACCCCCTAAGTGTATATAAGCACGATTTGGCCAAAAAAAGGGCCCCTGAAATTTTCTGGCCCACCCCTCAAATCCCTGGTGCCATTTTGCACCTGGTAGGAGGGGGACGTAGAGTGGGAAGGAGGAGGCAAGTCAAGTGCTATATATATATAGTACAGTAGCAAGCTGTAACTATGTGGCTTGAAATGTGGCTAGTCTGAACTGAGATGTATATAAGTGTAAGA